CCAACAACGTTCACACATTTTGTGCTGATTAAGGTGAACTGCTAGTTTAGCAAATAAAATCATGAAAAAATGTATTCTGCTTAGCAGAAGATACATTTTAGAGAGTGATATGTGTGTTGGGGGCGGGGTAATATTACATTGCAATTAACTAACTTCAGTTTGAGCAGACAATAGATGATGCAGTTAATGTGGACTTAGAGGGCGTTCTTTGTAGAAACTTCAAATAAGGTGAGTTGGATAAAGTTAGCTTTGCTGTAGAAGGTCATATTTCAGAAGCAGACTTAAATGCGGTCTGAAATAAAAACCAGTAGCAGTATGTGAACCTTGGGATACACATCAATGTAAATCACACATATTCATCCAACATTGCAGTCTCCTGACATTGGTTTAATTTTTTGAAAGAAACTAATAACGCAGTGGTGATCCATTTATGAATGTTTTCACAGTAGAGCGTCATTTGAGAAGAACGATACAAATCTATGATCGCAAGGAGTTAGGAACATTGTTGAGATAATTTTTCAAATTTGTATCAACATCTCCTATGGTAGTCAAAATACAAGTACCTTGAACGTATTCAAATTTCATGGTGTTGATGAGACATTGCCCATCTTTTTTCTCAAATTTTGGATGTTCTAGCGTGAGAGTGAAAAATGAACGGATGCAAGATTTTAGTTAACTGATATTCCCTATTTTGGCAGAAGAGAGAAAACCTATCCATTGCAGAAGAGAAGTAAATGCCATCATTCAGGATTGATTATTTGAGCTGATGAATCAGGAAAAGGTAAAACCGAGTATTCGTCATTCACATCACGGGGGTTTCTGTTGTAGGTCAACATTCCCACAGTTATTAACAGTTTTTGAGGAAGTATGTGTGAGTTTTGTTAAACATAAACAGAGATATTATTCATCTTGATATCTCGATATTTAGAAAGATTTGATACTGTATTTCGAATTCATGCAGCTTTCATAATAACCTTGGTTCCATAGTTACATATGCAATCAAAATCAGAATTGTTATGGATTAATTATTTTACACTATCCCAACTTGGGAATATTAGTGAGTATCAGTTGATGTAATGACATGGTATTAAGGTCAATTTGTCGAAATTGTTTGCACACAAGATGTAGACATATGTGTATGTATATGTACAAGGTATTTTGCCTATAATGAGACTGTGCGTATGTTGTATAAGGATTTTAACATACTGTTATAGCGATCGTCTTTGGGTGGGCTGAGTCTAAATTTGTCTTCCCCAAAACCTAAAAAATACTTGCAGTATGTATGTATCACGCAGTTTTTCACAATCTCCGGTGAATTGGACCGTGCGAAATTAGACGGCCAGGTTGAAATGAGCTATAACATGTTGCTACAGAACAGCTATTCACAGTTTCTGTACTCAATCGCTCAAACGCCGGTGAGATAACGTCGAATTGGAAGACAAACTATTGTAAATCGAGACCGGTTTCATTCAACTACAGACGAGACGGGCGATAATAATTAAACGAACCCTGGCCTATGGAAATACCTTATTCATAGAGTGCCTTAGTACCAGAGGTCGCATAGCACGGCCGTACAACGTACTTTGCAACATCGCTACAGATACATGCTAGCTGACAAGGAGGTTCCGATTAAGGTAACCAAGATTGCACCGGAGAGTGCGAGATTTTTCCGCGGTGTTTAAAAACAGAATCTCGATTTTTCTGTAATTTCCAGGGTATTTTTTTTATATAACAGAGCATTTTACGTTTGTGTATTTTGCTACTGAAACTTAGTCATCGATGACAGCACAGCAATGGTGTTTATCCATTGCATCGCAATGCTATTAGGACGGTGATCGTTACAGAGAAACGAAAAATGTATAAGTCAATTTTAAAATGCGTGAGAAAAAAAGTTGTCGACATGTTGCGAGATAGGGCTGAAAAAGTTTACAAATCATTTACATCTGTATGTTTTTTTGTATTCCGCTTGCATGCTGGAAGCGACTACGCTTGAAATAATGTAAACAGGGTCGCGGACAGAAAGTTACACATCGCCGCACCGTAACTGAGGCCAGCAAGTCATTTGCATATAACATCAACAGTGACTTGTCAATCAAAGGGCCACGTTAACAAACTTTCGGAACTTTTAATCACATAAGCGTGCCTCAGTTACCTATATTTTAAAATGTTCCAGCATTGACAATGCTCCGAAATTTTAACACTATCTAACCAAGATTGTCTGGGTAAGAAAAAGCAAAAAACCTACGAACCTACATCTATACCTTAACTAGTATACACAGGCTGGCTTAAGCGGGTTCGAGCCGTGGGGCTCCGACAAAAATAACGTGTTCACGTAGCAAATAAAAGCGTTACTTTCATCCAATCATGCAATATTCAAGAAACGACTATCATGAAGACATATATTGCCACATATTGCAAAAAAGTCACATTTGAAAGAAAAAAAATATACAGGATTCATCTCAATAGAATTAAAGGTGTATTTGTTAGCCAGTGCAGACAATACCACCAAAGTCTCTACAAACTATACCTATTCCAACCATATCTCTAATGCACACGAATCTATATCTTTTGTGTAAACATTTTTTGCCATTTGGTGATTATCGTTTGTGTAAAGCCCACCTAACCGAATTTAATCTAATCCTACCTAACCCAACCCTAATTCCAAATGCCAATACATGATAATGTATATCTTGGGGGAAGAAATTACCGCCAATTTGGTGTTTTTCACTTGCATAAATTCTACTTGACTTGAACCTAACCCCATGAAACTTCCGTCTACATCTTGTTTGCGAAATAGTTTTCCGACCCTACTGCACCGACCCTGCTCCTAATGTCAAGACAAGTTTGTGTATATCTCGTTAATTTATTGTCAACTACTTAAGTAAACCCTACCATATCCAATCCTGACCTCAATGGTATGCGCCTACTTATAATCACTCAAGTTTGAATGATATAAAATAAGAAAAGAAGTTATAAATATATATAATAAATGTCTCGGCAAATATATATTTTTAAAATTTCAAGCATTCATTTGCAAGTTCTTAAATAGAAGTAATAAACATTTGTATAACTATTTTAGACTTATTTTGGAGTAAACAACTCTTGTAAATAACTTCTTTCTCACATTGAACGTTGTTAATTTCATGTAATAAATATATTCCTTGATGTTTGTTCGAATTATAAGACTTTCTAAAATAATAAAGGATGAATTAGAACCCGAACATTTACTTTCTTTCTCATCTTGATGAATGACGTCAATCATTACATTACATAAGTGTTTTCCAACGCGTTTCTTTCCCCTTGCATATATATGATCTCTATTCAATTTTGATAATGGTATTGGGTACTGGTATCTTCTGATGTTTGTGAAAAAATGAAAGATAAATTAAGATATTGCTTTGCTGACTTTCGGTATGTCTGTAGAGGCTTCCAGCAGTAACGTTTGTGATATTTTGGACATCAGGAAGGGTATCAATGATAGGCTGTAAAATATGTTGTCAGAACAGTTTTATAGGTAATGGTGGAACGCAAAACATGTGTTTTTGATGTTGCCACAGTTATGTAGATCAA